TGTGGCTCATCTTTCCTTTTAAAAACCTCCCCCCCCCCCCCGAGGAGATAAATTTCCTGCATAAATTAAACGAATAACATACTAATCTAGGAAAATTAATAAATTGACCGAAGTTAAATAAGATGAATTGTCCATTTGACTTGAGAGTTGAATATCAAAAGGCTGTATTAGATAGTGGCATGAAAGCGCAGGCGCAGTACGTTGCAGGTAGAAGTACAGGTACCCACACGTCCAGTCTTCTTCATGGGAAGGAAGGAACACAGTTGCAAGCAGCACAGGTAAGATATAAGCAACGCGCTTGAGATGGGTTGTAACAAAATATATAAAATATGACGTAGAAAAGAATGAGAGGTGCATTGTAGACAATGTAACAGAAGGATAAGATGGGACTAAAAGTGATGACAACTGGAAAATATAGAATATAGAAAGAGGGAACAGTAATACATTTGTGGATTTATTATAATAATTAACATAAAAAAATATGTGTCGGACAATAGAGCAGATTGATGGACCTACAATAACAATTTTTGGCTTGAACAAAAAAAATTTTAAATAGACAAATGTAAGTTATTTAGAAGAAACTGTAAAATTTGGATATCTGTTGTAAAAATAATGATGTAATTCTTGAATATGTCCATTATAACAACGCTGCCATTCGAACAAAACTTATTGCTTCACTGAGAACGGAAATGGGAGGAGAGGATATAGTCTTAATTGATTCTACTTATTGCATTATTAAAGCAATTTTATACTCAGGAAATAGCGAAGAAGTCTTGAAGGACATTTTCAAACAGGCGTACACCCCATTCTGTACAGCCCTTCTGCGAAAATAAATTTCCTGCTTGAGTTTCAATCCATACCAGATATTTATTTCCTAGTAGGATCTGTTACTAAGCTAGGTAAAGAGGGCCGCGCCATAGCTCAAGCGGTTAGTCGCTGGCTTCCCACCGCGGCAGCCCGGGTTCGATCACGGGTCTGGTCAAGTGGGATTTGTGGTGAACAAAGTGGCGCTAAGGTGGATTCTCTCCGAGTACTTCGGTTTCCCCTGCCAATCTTCATTCCACCAAATTCTCCATCATCACAATCACCCGGGGAAGGCTACTGAGTGGCCGCCGTGCCGAGTGGACCTAGTTAGACCACCCCCCACTAAGCTAATTTAAAAAAAAAAAACTAGGTAAGGGCATCAAGCAGAGACCTATATATACACCACAAACGATCAGGTCATTCTGTTGCTGAATGCATTTGAAATTAATAGGAGGCATTTAGGAATAAGGTTCATTCCAATAAGTTTTACGAAGTTCATGGACATGCAACCTGAAGTAGGCAAACGGATATATTACCGTCGTATTTTCTATCATGTGTCTACTTGGATTACCCAGCTGCCTTCAGATTACACCTCTCAACATAATTACATTGAAAGGGTTTACATGGATACATTGTTAAGTGCCTCTTCCGAAAATGAAATAAACCTTAAATATCTTCATAAATTAAGCAACATTCTATGATGAATATTATGTACACTTCAAATTTCACTTAAATATGTTATCAGTACACAAAGAATAGATGCGACACACTGAAATAAAAGACTGCTCGCTCATTCGCGACCTACCACATAACCTGCATTCATACATGCTAATGCTCGACAGCTCCTATTTATATTAAACCGAGAATACGTAATTTCCTTTAATTAAACTTACGTATAAATACGTGTACATAAGATTTTTTTATATTTTTTGGCACTATGTTGCAGAATATTGTTTGGTGCAAAAATTTATATCAGATGCTTGTATGGTAAGGTAAGCTACCTCTGTAACAGGCCTTGAAGGTCCATAGGGTTGTGAGACGTCGAGGCTTCCACATTTTATATAGATAAACGGCTCACAGAAGGCTGTAAGGTTGTCAGCCTTAAGCGCCGGCCGCCCTTTACTTCCCAGGAAGATTCCTGGTACTCATTTCTGTTAGAGGCTGAGTCGACCCCTCGGACATAGTGCGGCTCGAAGGATTAGGTCAATTGAAAAAATCCACCTCATCGGCGCTCGAACCCGTGAACTTCTGGATTGTATCATTGTACGCTACACTACCGCGTGGTTTATTATATTTAATTCTCTTATCTTATCTTTTTTACAATAAATTCTTACATGCTAATTTTCAAAGACTATTCGTGTAAAATGCATATGGCTTGTGATATACGGTCCCTGGAGTTTGTATTTCAATGCTGACGGTTGACTTTCTTGTTACATTGCCGTGTCCCCTTGCGAATTATGTGGCAATGATTATGACTACATTATGTTCTGTACCATTTCTGGATATTCTTAGATTCCTGCCTGATTCTATTCATTAGTTAAAAACGAGTTTATATCGTTCTACAGGGATGCATTTTTGAAAATTTCTAATCCTTAATGTTAAGCATATATCTTTCTGGCGAGTTCTATCCTCTGTGATGTCACGCCGTGCAGTCTGGTAGAATGCATTGTGACAATTTTCAGAGTAGAAAAGTAAGCCATTACAACAAGAATCTGTTAAAACACTTTTCTTTATTGCTAGTGGGGTGGGACTAAATCCCTTTTATTGCGGCCACTTCTGGCCTATTGTACCAGCCCCAGATGATAGGTGAGGGTAATTGTGGAGCAATTTTTGGAATGAATATTGGCAGGGGAAACCGAAGTACTCGGAGAAAACCTGCCCCAGTGCTACTTTGTCCACCACAAATCCCACTTGACCAGATCCGGGATGGAACCCAGGCCGCCGCGGTGGGAAGCCAGCGACTAACTGCTTGAGCTATGGTGCGGCCTGTTAAACACTTAACACGTCCCAGTAGCACTGCCATAAGAATCTCAGATGTCACGTATGTCCTTCTGTTTCTGCATAAATCCTGCCTGCAGATAGGCATTTATTGAAGGCCGATAGGTATGAGTGTGGGAGTGAAACCCGATAGGGGCGTTTGTCATATAGTTGCTTATTTTTCTGTACTTCTATTTTGTCTTTCTGTATAATCTTAGAGGCAGGATCTTATTCTCTTCCGCTGTTCAGCAGATGGGAGTGGCTGGTATCCGCAGGGTAACGCAACATTGTGTACTTTACTGGAATTTGCTTTTAATATTATTATTATTTTTATTCAAACTGGAGTACGCTTCTGTTACGTGGAACTCTGTTACGATTACTAACTCCAATAAACTTGAGAACAAACAAAGGAAATTTGAAGCGCTTTGCCACAACAGATATTTTCAAGATACGGAATATCATTGTGACAGTTTGTTGGGAGAATTAAATTTGCTGACACTGCACATCAGGCATCTTCAACCTGATGCTTTATTTTCAATAAATGTTCATAACGGCGCTAAATGTTGCCCCTCTTCCCGGCAATCATGTTCCTACTCGGAGCATACGTAACTTTACTATGTTCAGTTGCTCCGCCAGCCACTGCCCTTCAGCTCGATGTGTTTCTGTTGCTAATGCAGTCTGTAAATCTACGGATATCTTTAGAAACTCGGGTTTAAATATGAACAACCTTAATTGAAGTTTTTTATTGTTTTTGTTTGCTTTGTCCTGTGTTGTCTGTTGCTCTTTGTGTTCGTGCTGACTTTATAACTGGCCACTGGCTGTTGAGCTAAGCATGTAAATAAGCGGAGAACTGAATTATTATTATTATTTATTGATGTATTTGGAACCAATAATGTGTTTCTCTTAATCATATTTGATAAAGCTACTTCCTCATTTATTAAGATATTAATTACGAGTATATTCTAATATGAATATATGTATGTTTTTCTCACGGCAAAATGATTGACGTCATTGTCCTTGCTGGCATTTTATTACTCGTATTTTCGAAAGGATAAAATCTGCCTTGTTTTTATTTCTTTGTGTGTTTGCTTTATTTCCTTCTTTGGCTCATGATTACTTTAAAATTGCCCCTTCGGCTGCTGAGCAAGCAGTTATATAAATAAGGAATTGAATTATGATCAAGCTTCTTCAAAATTTATATTTGTTTTAACACAAGTTGGTTTCCTGCCGTTATTTCGACAAAATGCTGCTCTATATGTAGAACACAAAAGTCAGTGTATAATTCATATACAGATCGTGCCTCATAGTTCCGGTATTTCGCAGTCCAGCACCAGTTTAGTTTGCCGGAAGGCCCTTAAATTTGGCTTCAAAGACACCAGAAAGCAGCCGTGATGTTGGTAATGCTTGTAAGCGCAAATGTTCTACCTTGTTCCTTGCACGAATACTTTATAATTGTGTATCAGCACTAACAATTATTGAAGTATTTTGGTGCCGTATTTTATTCCCCCCCCCCTCTACTCTGGCCCCGTTTTCTACCTAACTTTCAACAACTGTATTACACTGCACTGACCTCCCGCTCTCTCAATTAGTGTGCCTCTTCGTATTTACAGTGTATATTAGCACTTACGATGAAGACGTGATTCCATACTTCGCTGCTGAATGTCAAATCCCATTGTGTTTGGCTCTCAAGAATGCGGGTAGTTAAACTAATGCAAGAAAAAAACATGGCGTGTGTGCTACTGACTCTACAGGATAAGGCTATTTCCTGGGATCGGCTATCACATTCACCAGCCTCTACAACGGTAAGTATTTCAAAGAACACATTTCTGTTCACGAATTTTGGATGAATTTGGGGCTTTACTATACAATGATTTATACCACTATTGCAGAAAGCTGTTACGAGTGAGTCACGAAAACATGTTGCCCATTGTTGGCGCCAGTAAGTGTTATTCTCGTAGAAGGTCCTCTAGTGACCTCCACTCGTCAACCCTGTGCCGCAAAAATATTCTGATAGAACCCACGCACCTGGTTTTTGATAACAATAATTGGTCAGAGTGTCTGGATATAACAACGTAGAAAACATTCATGATTGTTAGGGCACTTAAGAAAATGAACTGAGCTGTAAAAGTTTGCTTAATTTCCTTGTTTTGTGCCGTCTGTAGCAGTTTTATTGCGACAAGTGGACAGAGACTGCAGGAAATGTACTTGAAATAGCATGAGCTGTAAGCACAGGATGGATTGACCGACTGGAAGGGCCTTCCTTGTCCCCGTTAGTTTAATAACGAAATGTGTTGTGCAGGTGGCCTTGGCCTCTGGACTCTGTAACCTCGACCTCGGTCCATTTGGATGCCCTCCAACAATAGCAGTAACAATGATGTAATGAAGTGAAATTCTATGTCAACATGTTACAAAGAACACTTCCTATTATGGAAACATGTCAGGTACTAACTCATGTTAATTATGTCGGAAAGTATGAAATGTTAAGCAATTCCAGGATAGCATCATTATCGACAGTAATATATATAGCACAAAAATGGCGGACCTTGCTATCGCATGGTTTGCATTCCTGTTTGAAATGTCGTGGTTTCAAATCTCGTAATTCTGTATTTCACCATCCTGTTGCAAATCTTTAGCCAAACGTCTGTGTATTCACAGTCCGTCAGTAATGCAACAATTGTTTATTCACAATTTAACACTTACTTAAAATCCATTAAATTTTATATTTTTAAGTGGACTGCAAGGCGCAGTTTAGCGCACTTCAGAACAGTGTAACAGTTGGACACGTTAAAACACATGAAGATGGCCATCTGTGGCCGAAACATGTTGTGTTAACTGTTAAATGGTGAATAAACAATTGTTGCATTACTGACGGACTGTGAACACACAGGCGTTTTTCAAATCTCGTCCTGGAAACTGGCTATTCTGACAGATTTGTTCGCATCTTCAAGCAATTCCTCCAGGAAAATTCTAGGATAATATCTTAAATCAGCCGGTCACGGTAGCCGAGCGGTCTAAGGCATGCACTGTCTTCGCTCGCTCGGAAACCGGGATCGTCGGTTCGAATCCCACTCAGGGCATGGGTGTTAATTTGTGTGTGTGCGTTTTTCTGTGTTTGTGTACAGGTAGAGGCTTTGCGACGAGCTGATCACCCGCCCAAGGAGTCCTACCGAATGTGTAAGATCTAGAAAAACCGAAGTGAACGGAGAAGTTCATGGAGGTAGGCCGAGGCCCACTGGGGCTGTAGTGCCAAGGAAAAAAAATATATAACTTAAATCAGGCAACGACCACTTCTGTACGCATCCTTCAAAATGTATTATTCACTAATAATTGTGTTTTGACAGGCTATATAGGCCCAATCTTAGCAATGGCTCTTGCCACTGGATAAAAGTAAGAAGAAGAAATCAGATGTACAGGGTCGGTGTACACCCAAGTGTAGCCCCCGGATGGAAGAAATACCGCCCCAACACCCAGTACTTCTGGAAATCTTATCACAATTACCAATACGAAATTTCCGGACACTGTAACGAAAACCATTGTTGGTACCGTAATTCTTAAAAAGAGTTTTCTTTACATTGTTGCATAATATGTTTAGATTGCTGCCAATTAAAGAAGTTCGGCAGAAATTATTTTTGTGTAAACAAAATATAAAAGAAATAAAAGAGATTGTATTATGTGCCACATTTAAAATCGTCCAGTCGCAGACTTGGGTGCCTGCCCTCGCGCTGATGCGTCGGTCCTGCAGACATGCGCAAATTGCAACTACAGACTTCATCCACGCTTGCGGGCTGTCATAAAATTGCGGTTTTCGCGAGGCGGAGCGGAAAAGGTTTGCAGCATACACGTAGGCCTTCGAAAATGATTTATTGTCCAACTATTTACAGCAACTTTATGCCTTTCTGCGGACGACTCTGATTTTAAGGCTCGATGATGATGATGATGATGAAGGCTATGGATGTATTGATGTTAGTCGTGGTGGTGGTGGTAATGGCAGTAATAGTACTAGTGGCAGAAGCATTAGTAGTGGCAGCAGTGTAATAATAATAATAATAATAATAATAACACCGGCAGTAGTGAAGTTTTAGATTAAGCTGCCCCAGAGTTTAATTAAGCACTGTCATGAAAACATACGGTGATGAACGTATAACTCCATCCAATCTTATCAAGGCGATAGATGAGTGGTAAGCGCCATTCCTCGTTCCCTTAACGCCCCGAGAAATAGACCCCGGTACCAACTGAATGAGAGGCTTTGTGCGTCACGGAGTGAATATGGACGCAGCGGGGAAGATAGAAATATCTTGAAAATGTCTGAAATCAAGACGTGTTTACTTGGTCGTCCAGCCCAGAGTTCCGTCCCTGTAATATAAGTAAATATAAATCATATTCATTATATATCCGTCATTTTATAACTGTTCGTCAATTGTTTGAGTTGAACAAAGTAGATTCGAGAAGAAAGCCCAAAGAATCCGTGGGGGAAATCAGTTATTTGACGTCATACACGAATAAGTTAACGCTAATTTCTGTTGACAACTCGCGGAAGCCTTGAGGTATGTTCGTGACAAATGACTTCAGAGGAATTTCTGTTGAAAATACGGCTATAAATCCTAAAATAATTTGAATAATTACCAAGCACCAGGTTTTATATCGATAAGATCCCTACAAATCAGCTGGAGGGTTAAGGTATAACAAACCTTTATTCCTTATCTTTACAATATATATATACATGTTATCCAGTCGTTCGAAGCTATGTGAATTTAGTTTCTGACAACATCGTTAAGTAAACTGCAAACTACTTATTCTGCAGATCAAAAAGAATATTGCGAGGTTTCATATAAGGATAACGGCAAAATAAAATTGAAATAAGAATATATGATATAAATGATATTTCAAAAATATTAAAAGGTATGCAAGAAATGTAATTCAACAGTGAACGACGTGGAAATAAAGCAGGAAGACTATGAGACATGCCAGAAAAAAGACCTGTACGTATGTATTTTTCAATGTTAGATATAACACAGGCCCATCACAGTGGCCGCGCTGTCTAAGGCAGTTTCTCAACCGCTGGGCCCTGGCATCAATTTTACAGGGTCCTCGTCTTATAGAAAAAGAATTTACCGGGCCGCGGTCTCACGAAGGTTGAGAACCACTGGTCTTAGGCATGAACCGTCTTCGCCCGCTCGAACACTGGGATCGTGATTTCGAATACCACTCGATACAAGGATATATGTGTGCGTTTATTCTGTTTGTGTTGTTCTGTGTGTATGTAGGACCCTTGCGACGGGCTGATCCCCATCCAAGGAGTCCTACCGACTGTGTATAGAATGAGGAAACTGAAAAGAAGGTCGACGTACAAAGGGCTGTACAGCCATAGAGAGAGAAAGAGAGAGAGATTTATGACACAGATGTAAAAAGGTAAAGTTGTCCCTGTGCTTAACTAACTAAGCACTACGCCATGAAGGCGTATGGGGGAGTGGATGTATAGATCCATATTTTCTTGACCTCGGCAATAGCTGGAGGTAAATGGTCAGATTCACGCCCCAGCCGCTTTACCCCAGGGGAAAGAGTCCCCAGGTACCCACTGGAGGTTGAGTGGACCCCAGAGGCGGTCTGGACGACGTGGAGAAGAGAAAATTCTTGACCATACCGGGACTCGAACTCCGATCCCTCGGTCGCCCAGCCCGTAGCCAGTAGCTATACCGACTACAATATCCCGGCTTCTATAACACAGATGTAGTTTCATTAAAGATGAATAGTTTTGTGGGTAAAATCTACTTATTGTTTACATAAAATTGTCACTAATTTCAGTATGTAATTTGAATCCCGTGAAGATGGCTGAAAGTATCTGCAAAAATATATGTGTGTATAAGTAATAACATGTTGTACTTGATGGTATTACTCTATAGCATATGTAAATAAGACATCTTACTGTCTCCCCCTCGGTACGAAGGACTAGCATAGGTGGAGACATCAGGATACACATGTCCGTGCGAGATTATCTCCGGTGTGTTCTGTTGCAATGCACAGATGGCATTCTCATATGTTAAGGCCAAGTGAATAGCAGAATTCTGTTCGCTGCCCTTGATAAATGGCTTGCTTTCGTGAATTTGGTCAGACAGGGCTCTGTACCCTGTACAAGGCATTATAAATCAATATATGGTATCCTTCCATGTGTATAGCCTATCAGCTAATGTATCGAAAACTTCAACCTGTCTTGAAATGATGTGAGGAATAAGAATACTTGAACAAGGTCAGTCAAATGACTCACCACAACACAGACTTAAAACGTCCAACGATGGACTGGACGAGCAAAATTGCCTGCAATTTACGACTCTGCGAACAGACGTGGTTAAGAAACCACGGATCAATTACATGCACTCGCACCATAAAATCTGAGTACGCGGTAGGTACCATGCTGTAAGCTGGAAGGTAGTGGGTTCGAGTCCCGATGATGAGGTGATGGAATTTTTTAGTTGATATAATCTTTGCAGCACACTATGATCCTAGGGTCGATCCAGCCTGTAAAAGGAATCAGTACCAGGAATCTTTCTGGGGATAAAAGGCGGCCGGCACGTAAGGCTGACAACCTCACAGCCATCTGTCGGCAGATCGTCTAGAAAATGTGTGAGCCTCGACTCACAATCCTATGCCCCAGCACGGCCTCATAAGGGATCGCTTAACGTACACCATCAAAGTGAACTAGATAACGAAATTTATGTTCCGTTAAGCAAATTTCAGCTGCTATTTGAAGTCCGTAACGGAATCGCTTGCTGCCGGGCTTCCTGAGTCGTGTTCTCAGCCCGGAGACCGGCTTTCCGTGATCTCCTCAGTCAACTACAGGGTATTCCCCCAAGTTATATCACGGCCGCTTCCATCCTCATCCCTTCGAATTTACCCTTCTCCAGTCATCCTATCGGTCGGCACTACGTCACCTGAGATAGCGAAAGCGTAGAATAAATCAAGAATGAGTGCAATAAAACGTTTTCTGAATTACATATGAGAATGAAAGTAGTTCGGAAATTGCAAGATTACCTCGTAGCGTATTTTATGAACACAGGCAGCTCCATAAAATTTATATCAGCCTTAAAACTCGATGTGGGAATTGTGATATAACGTGAATTTTATCTAGTGAAATTCAATGTTTATATGAATCCTCTATCCATCATTATATATTTGAAGGAAAACTTGTGCTTTTGAATTATTTGTTTCCTCCCTCGGACCAAATGGCCGATCTGACAAATTGTAGTAATTGTGAAGCTCAATATGTCACAGAAAGCTCTTACACAGAATTTTCAGGCAACATATGGAGGTCAAATGATTATAAATCCTCCTCAGTTTTCAGGTCTCGACCAAGAAA